TAAAGGAGACATTTTAATTCTAATCTGTTACTTTAAACTGAATTTATAACTGAAATAAAATGAGGTTTTTATGCATCCATGTTTTACAATAAAAACTAGAACATTTAAAATGTAAAACAGGGGGACCCCTAGTGGGTCCATGGAGGTACTGCATGGGGGGGGGATTTAAATGTCTTTAAATCCACATTAACATTCAGAGACACACAGGAGCTCTTTCAGTCTGGGCACCGTTTCATTCACAACACCTGTCCCATCAACCAGGAATACTTTAATAATCCCAGGAGGGATTACTTTAGTTACATTACTCCATCTGTAATAGAGTGACTATAGAACCAGTTTGTAGAACACTATTTAATACCATATATCTATAATCAGGGGGCCTGCTCCATCGCCATCAGTTGGGGGCCTGGAAACGACCCCTGATCTAATTTATAGACAATATTTACACTGATTTTTGGAATTTTAGGTCAATTTCACTCATTCCACATTTTTATATTATACACAAAGAGTCGTTTTTTATTTCTCATTTTATTTATTATTGTGTGTTTTTGCTTTCTTTCCTGATTGGTCGCTGGGATCTTTTTTATTTTAACCTTTAATCTGGTTTAAATAAAAGGTTTTAAATAGAAGCCAGTTTAAATGATTAAATCAGTGCAGTTTTCTGTTCTCTGTTGCTTTAAAGGTTTGCAGATGAAGGTTCTCAGTCATTCCGTAAAAGTTTAAAAACAATCCACTGGACTTGGTTTCCCAGGTTTGAAGACGTTTGGCTTCCCATCCAGGAAGATTTCTCAATTCAAAGGTCTGGATCCGCAGTGAGTTTAAGTCTTTATATAACCTTTAACAATCATAGACAGGCTGCAGGTATTACAGGCTAACAATGGAACCAAACGACCCGCCCATCGGTTTCCATCTGCATGTAATACCAGCCTCGTCTCTATAAAGACTCACTGCAGATCCAGACGTTTGAACTGAGAAATCTTCCTGGATGGGAAGTGAAACGTGACCCGGCGCCCCGCTGGTAGCATCGATGGTGTTAGCCGCCATATATTAGCCTGAGGAATCCTTTAAAATAACCATCTGAGACGCTAAAGCTGCTTCACTCCATGTGTCCATCAGGCCGTCCCACGCTGACCTCCCCTCCGTCTCCACCCCTCTGCTGCCAAAGGTGGAGCTGGATGAGCTCTGTTCCTCAGACAGCGACAGCTCCGCCCCCCCCTCTGACCAGCCGCCCAGGGAGGGGGAGGAGGGCAGCCAATCAGGAGACAGAGCTCAGCAGGACAGGCTGTCCTCTCCATCCAGGGAACCTGGCCCTCCATGGCCCAGAGGCCCACAGGCTCCGACTCCGCCCCCTCAGGCTCAGACCCCGCCCCCTCAGACTCAGACTCCACCCCCTGTCCATAGGAAGGCCCACAGGAAGACTAACAGGAGGAAACCCAGCGAGTCCTCGTCCTCCACCAGGCCCAGCCAGAGGCCAGGGACCTCCACGGACCTCCACAGACCATCTCTGGGGCCCAGGTTCTCCACAGGGGCCCGGCCCCCCTCTGTGAGCTGGCAGAAGGTCCAGATGGAGGAGGCGCGGGTCCACAGGGACCCTGTGGAGCAGACCATCGAACAGGTGGGTGACGCTGATGGAGAGACGCTGCTCTGGGATCTCCACCTGATCCTCTGAAACTCCTCAGGTGATCCAGATGTGCTGCTACAGCTGCAGCGCTCCTCCCCACCAGCAGGAGGACCACAGTCTTCCTCTCAGCCTTCCTGTCTCCATGGAAACGCTGAGTGAAGACTGGGACGCTCCGGTGCAGGTATGCATGGGGGGCGGAGCATCATGTATCAGGGGGCGGGACTTCAGGTTGAACAGGTCCTGACTCTGAATATTCCTTTGCAGGGAGTTTTCCAGAGGGCGGAGACACGCGGCGACACGGCCGTCCAGGTGGCTGGGACTGAGGGACGGCACCTGGGCCGTCTGATGGACGTCCAGGTGGACCTGGAGGACCAGCTGTACTCCAGCCAGCTGGACTCGGCTCTGCTTGGCGGTGGGATCAAGCAGGACCAGGGGTTCTGGAACATTCCTATAGAGGATGTCCTCCCGGTCCCACAACATATCCCCAAGTCCTTCAGGGGAAAGACCTGGACCCAGATCGAACAGGAGGACGAGGAGAGGGTGGAGAGACTGGTCCAACAGTTCAGACGTGGAAAATTCATCTGCTACTTTGACAGCGAGTCCCTGGCCAGGTAACCCAGCCCCTCACCTGTGGATGTAGGACCAGGTGATTGATTGGATCAGGACTAGGTGATGCGTTAGGACCGGGCTAACTCGGGTGATGCCTTAGGACCGGGCTAAC